GTGAAAACATCACAAATAGTGATAGTTTATACTTCACTTGTGATTTTTTTTATCTTCCCGCTGGTATTGCTGCACCACTGACCAGACTCCTGTCGCTTTCAACTGTTACCACCTCTTTATGTTTATGGCCTCATGCCAGCAACAGTCAGGGCTGGAGGGATTATATTTTTGGGTCGCCGTCCATCTCATTCTTGTGAATGTGAACTTCTTCAAATTTGGCATAAACATTCACCTGGACTACTGGACCGATTAGATTTTGGTGGTCAAAGGTCATAACTCAAGAATTCATACACCCATTATGAAACAATTTAGCACAAATATCTAATAGGATGAAATGATGAAGTGATGACATTTTATATCCAAAAGGTCAAAGGTCAACTTCACTGTGACATCATAATGTTCTGCAAAAACACTTGTGGTCATTATTCAACACTACCTGTATACCAATTCAGGGGCCGCATCCTTCAGAGGCTGCATTTAAAGACTGATTGCATCACAGACAAGGCTCCTTCAAATGTGTCCTTCTTTTCCTGGGCAGGATCCACTCGTTGGATCCTTTGTTGCCCGACCGATTAATTAATGAAAGCAAACAACACAGACAGAGAGCCTGAGGATCACACTGTTAAATGAAAGTATTGAGTTTCAGCTCAGTTCAACAGCTAACGATACAACTGTTAAAACCATGGACCTTAAAACCTCAAGTTTTATATTAAAAAAAGTTATGTTGATGGTTGCTAGTTTGCGAGGAGCCACGCTTTGCAACGCAACAGTAAGGGCGGGCACAGCTGGTGACGCAAGGCGAAAATCCTCTGTAGACCAGAGCGTCTCATTTCGGTTCAGCCTTCGTGGTCTATGACGGCAGTGAAGGACCACATCTCCATAGACCGTGTCCTCTAAAGGATTCAGCCCCTGAATAGGGACACAGGTTGTAACTGAGGAAGGGGAGATTGTGACCATATTTCCGGTTGGCGGAGGCATACAACTGCGAGGAAGTAGTTCTAGTCCACCTCTGTTGTAACAGCATTTTTTCAGTGTGAACTCAAAACATGGTTAGAATGAGTAGAAAGTTTGCACCTGGGACAAAACTAAAGACAACAGTGACAGAACCAGCACTTGTGAGTGATGCTGATATAACAATGATGAGATCGACCCTCTGGGTAAAGATGGTCATTGAGCTCATTATCTCCCTACCTCCCTATCACTTCTCAGAATGATATAGATGCTTAAATAAACCAGCAGACCAAGACGGCAACATTTATTACAAAGCAAATAAAGTTTGTCTTGCTGGAGTCTTGCTGGAGTTGAACCTGATTAGCACAGATTGATTATTTCAGTTCTGGCCTTTGAAATGAGACACCAGTGCTGCTGGAGCCCAGGTGGCATCCGGGGGCAAATCTCAGTTGGAGCTCAAGGCTCATACTGAGGACGACAGCTGTACTCCAAATGACCTCATTGCATGAATGTGGAATCATGGAACAGCTCAGCAGTGTGAAGTAAAGAAGGTCAATCACTGTTAGATCCTTGATAATATATTTTATTTTAAGATGAATAATTACTTAAGATACCCATGCTCTGTTAGCTCTGTGTTAATTAGATGAAATGCAAATGCTGCTGCTGGATACAAGTACTAATCAACAGAAAATAGAGGACTTGTTTTTGTCTCAGCTGGTTCATTGCAGTGAAGATCAAATGGTAACGTCACATGAAGAGGCTGATGCTCACAATAACTGGGCTCAGCTGCCTCTGTGACTAAGCAGATTCTGCGATGGTGCTGACTATGTGCTGCTAATCTGTGGTGTGAAGGTCAGTGCAGAAGGCCGTCCTGCCGTGTGGATTATCTCCAGGCCGTCTCACTTTTCATTGCTCTAGTACATTTCCTCTGTGTGTGTGTGTGTGTGTGTGTGTGTGTGTGTGTGTGTGTGTGTGTGTGTGTCTGTCTGTCTGTCTGTCTTCAGGATACAACACAGCAATGCATCAGCACTCTGCCACTTAATGTTGCCCAGTGTGTGCGTGGTGGTGGGGAGGGACTAACTCAGGCTCTTAGAAAAAAAAAAAAAGTCATTTCAATGTGCCTCCAATGTAGTTTATGGCTTGTGTGTAGTATATACACTGCAGTATGTAATGCATTCTCTGCTGTGGATGAGAATGTGTGTAAATGTGTTTGATAGGCATGGTGACCAAGGTGATGTTTTTGTCATTATGATGATAATGTAACACAGGTTGATGTTCTTTCGTGCTGAGGGAGAAAAAAGAGAAAGCTTGATGCCTCACAGGTACTGTCTCTTTCATATCTCTGTTCACATGACCTCTGTATCATTATACCTGCCTCTCTGAATAAAACCGCATTAAAGCTGTTTATTTCTTATTTACTCACCTGCATCATTGTTGTAAAATGTATTGAAGTTTTATTTTTCTGTAGACGCATTACCCATGATTTCTGAATGTACTTTGTACGACGGAGTAATAGGGCCACATTGAGGGAAAAAAATCGGAACTTTTGAGAATAAAGTTTTAATTTTACAAGAAAAAAGTCATAATATAATGAGAATGAAGTGGTCATTTTATTTATTATTATTAATGTTAGGTTCCATGTTGTTTTAGAGGGGAAATATCAGAAGCTTTGAAATGAGGAATGTAGAGCATCTTCAGCAACCACATTGTTTGGTTCATCAGCATCATCACCATCAGCATCATCATCAGGACATTGAAGAGATTGTGAAGAATTATGTTTTTTTCTCTTGAAATTTTTAATTTTTAATTCTCATTAAATAATTACTTTATTCTCATATTATGACTTTATTCTCGAAATTTATGATTTCTTTTTTTTTCTCAATGTGGCCCCAATACTCCGTCGTAACTTTGAAATCTACTCACATACTTTCAAATCACAAAAATGAGGAAACAATGCATAGTGTTTGTGAATACAGCAGCTGCTCTTCTATCTGACCTTCTTACCTCACACTCCTGGAGCATTTGTTTTTGTAATTCTAATCTCTGAATGACAGGAGACAACACTGAGGCAGAAATGACACGCTGTTCAAGTCCCATGATGTATTATGTTTTATATGAGTGAGTAAAGAAGGCCATCTCTGTCCAGGTAGTATTTCAGGGTCAACCATGTATTTTGTGTGTTTTTTTTTTTTTTAACCAAAATATTCTTAAGTATGTCAAACAAAATGCAGAACTAAATGGGTTCTTCAATAACTGCATGGAATACATGCTGTGGTCAGCTAGCTTCATTGCTGTTGTAACGGATTCTATTGTGATAAGTTTTCAAATTATGAAAACATCCAGAAAAAATGTTCAAACCACTCCTGCCGCATCCTCCTCTGCCGTCCGTCCCTACTCCTCTACACTTCATGTTTGAAATGCGTGAGATTTCATGCACTCAGAGGCTTCCGTTTATGGGATGCTGTATGGCAGAGATTGGTGCCACAACAGTGGCAAGTTATTGTGTCTCAGATCTCAGCTATTAGTTAGGTGAGAACATTGACAGAGGCCACTGGGCTCTGCCAGGATTGTGCCCTGTTCTGTTTCATGGACAGAGTCTTGTGGTGCAGCAGGGTCTGGAGAACGTCCTGTGGCCTCCTGTTGGTTTTATCGACCTGTCATCTCCATGTACCGGGGCAGCTTGCAGGCGAGCGTGAAGGGGCAGGGCCGCCGAGACCTCCATACTGGTGGTACTCTGCAGGGCAAATACGTCAGGGCTCTTGCTCAGGAGTGATAGAACGATCAAACGGCTTCAGCAGTAATGTGGGTGTTGCGACCGCTTTGGTGAAGACAGACCTGAGCCTGAAGGCAAAGCTCCAACCCTCACCTGTAGTCATGAGCTTTGGGTAGTGACCAAATGAAGGACATCGTGGACAGAAGCACAGGAAATCAGTTTCCTTTGTGGGGTAGCTGTGCTCTCCCAGGAGCTGAGACTTGTGCAAACAACTCAGAGTAGAGTCACTGCTTCTTCGCTTCAAAAGGGGCCAGTTGAAGTGATTTGGGCATCTGATTGGGATGCCTCCTGGAAGCCTCTCTCTTGAGGTTTTCCATGTTTTCGTGTCCAGGTGTGAGATTACCCCAGGGCTGACCGAGAACCTGCTATAGGTAGTACATCTTCTATTGGACTAGAGAATGTCCTGGGATGCTCAGAGTTTGTAGCTTGGATGGAAGGATGTATAGACTACCTTGCTTAGCCTGTTGCCAAGGTGATGGCTGAAAATGGGTGATGATGGATGGACAGAAATAAAATAAGAAGTTGTGTTATGTGTAATACGAATTTCCCTTTAAGGTTCTGTATTTTTTCATGTTGCTCCAGGACTACGTCTCCAGGTGTGCAGCCATTGTACCTTGTACCTCTGGCTGGAAGTGCACCTTTGACTGTGCTGTGCACTCAAACCCCTGGAAGCGTTGTTGTACGATAATCTGATTACAGTTGATAAGATGGATCCATGGTTTGTTGATAGGAATGGCCCATTGGTAGTCCTGACAGCTTCCGCTCCACATTATGCTCATAGTTTCTGTTCAAGATTCAACCTCAAACATGACGTGGTGTTATACTACTCTGTGGCTGTCTGTTAAAGGATATGCTGAAGGATATTTTTACAGCTAGAGTCTTATTGCTGTTGTTTATGTGTAAATGTAACCTTGTAATCACCAAGTTAATTGCTGAGATCTGAGATCACATCAACAGAACAGATTATAAACAAACCCCCCGAGTGAGTGAGTCAGAACAAAGAGAAAACAAAGGTGACCAGTAAAATGATCACACAAACCGTCTGTGGTTAGCCCAGTCCACGACTAGCAGCCATCCAAATGCAGTTTCATGCAGTCACACTGGGTTCAGTTCACCTCCTCCACTTCTACTGTGGAGTTGTCTGAAGTAGTGACTGTAAAGTCTACAGCTGTTACTGAAGCCCGCTTTATTAAATTACTGTGTGTGTGTGTGTGTGTGTGTGTGTGTGTGTGTGTGTGTGTGTGTGTGTGTGTGTGTGTGTGTGTGCGTGTTTCAGACCGTGGAAAGGGCAGGCAGAGACAGGCCATTTTAGGAGAACACCCTTCATCCTACAGTGAGAACGGCTATGGTAAGACTAAGACACACACACACACACACACACACACACACACACACACAAACATAGAATTAAAGTGGTAACTGAATCAACTGCCTTACACAATGCTGCTACTTCATCTACAGTTCCCATACCTCAGAGGTGAAACCTGACACTCTCCCACACACACACACACACACACACACATACACACATTCACTCAGGGTAGGTGCAGATTTCCAGTCCTGTGTAATGGTCAGAGGTGCAGCAGTAGGTATACCTTCACCTGCATGGAAACAGATCCCTGTCAATTACACTGTCTTTACTTTAAGCTGTCTCACAACACACACACACACACACACACACACACACACACACACACACACACACACACACTACATCAGGTGATACAAGTACCACATGCGTGTATTATTGCAGCATGAAATTCCTCTACCACATCACACACACGTGTTTGTCCTCCTCTATACAGGCTTGTGATTCTTCAAACATACAAACAACATACACAGAATATGTAAATGATAAGTTAGGATTGTCTCAATGCAATAGTTACACACCATCTGTACTTTGAAAGACTAATGGGTGGTTGTGGTTGTTCCTCATAAAGGAATGTGGAAGGGAACTCTTCCTAGAGTGTTCGGCTGAAGTTAAATTGAGGGTCAACCAGCCAAATTCAGTGGGGAATTCCCTTTTTGTGTTTCTATTCTCTGCTGCAGGTCAGCAAGGAATCACAGTCTGGAGACAATTTGTCTCAAAGATCCATAGCTCCATATTTTCCTCTCCTCCTGTGTTTTATTTGAAGTGTTGATCCATAAGAAGATATATTTGTAGTTTTAAGAACCAAAAACCATCTCAGTGTAGTTTTACATCTCCTCTCTCAGGCTTCTCTCTGGAGCTCTAGTAACAACAGGTCGGTGAGCCAATCAGAAGAGAGGAGGCTCTGATAGTCTTTGAACAAAATGGAAATTACAACAGGTCTCATTTATTGGTGTGTACAGGGGTGGATGGTCACTAGGGGGCAATGTTGGACAATGTTGGCCAGAGAAAGGAATTTAACATAGTGCAGTTAATTTAGTATATGTGAGGTAGTAACAGAGAAACAAAGTAAAGAATCATCATCTCTTTCTTTGAATCAATCATTTCTGTCTGCTCTACTGGAGTTTTAACTGAGTGAATCTATAAAATGAGAGTCATCAGAACACAGTTACATCCAACAACAACAACAACAACAACAACAGATAAAAGCATTACGGTTCTCATGACATTCATTTCACTAAACCTTACTGAACTGTCCTGAGAGTCTCAGCTCCTGCTGTCTCTGCCTCCTCAGGTCCACCCTGCCCCCTGCTGCCTCTGCCCAGCAACAGCAGGTACAAGCTCACCTCAGTGGACGTTCCGGACATGGTGTCCTACCCTCTGCCCCAGTCGTCCTCTTCATACTCTGGCCACGCTCCTAGCTCTGTTGCCATGGTGAGTGGCCTCCATCCATCCAAGATGAACTGCACCCGCATCTTCAACCTCTTCTGTCTGTACGGCAACATTGAGAAGGTAGGCTGTGTGTGTGTGTGTGTGTGTGTGTGTGTTTTCATATCTTCATATCTTATAATAAAGCGTTTTCATAAAAATGAAATGGGCCTAAAAGGTGAAGCTTTAGTTTCCCTGTACTCTTCTTTTTAGTTTACTCCATTTCACATCTTAACAGTTTCAACCATTTTTGTAATAAACAACCTCACCACATCTTTACAGTTTAACATCTTTAGCACCTCCTTTTCTCTTTCTGTCCCTCTTATATCCCACTTTCCCCATTTATTGTCAGCATCAGCATCAGGACATTGAGAAGCTTGTAAAGAATCTGTTCTGTTGTTAGACAGACAAACAGCTCAGACTGACACTGACTGTCCTTTCACCTGTTTGATTGATTGTTGTAATATTCCTAAAAAGTATGTTTTTTTCTCTCAAAAATTTTACATTTTTAATTCTTGTAATATTACGACTTTTTTCTTGTAATTTCAAACTCCTTTTTTTCCCTCATTGTGGCCTTAACACTCCATTGTAGATTAAAGTCCAGGTCTGGAAAGGACGGTATCTGCGTTTGGTGACCAGTGACCTCTGATCTATGGTGTGAAAACCTCACATTTCCACACAGTCAGAGAAATAAAAAGTGTGTCCTGGTCATAGTTCAGTTATAAAATCCTAGAGCACCACGGAGCGTCTCTCCTGTCAGACTGCTGACTGCCATTAGCCGAATATTGAGGTAGAGGAGCTTGTACCAACATCTGGTTCAAAGCACTTTAGGTGACTGTACTGACAGTCACCACTGGAGTTGAGAGCATCAGAGCAGCCAACAGACACAAGTCACACTGTCCACCTATTCCACCACCAGTCTTGAACATTTTGAGACAAAACACCAGGGGCCATATGCATAAATGATGCGTACACACAAAAACCATGCATACGCAACGCCATTTACCACACATGAATTGATATTTATTAACACAGAATGGGTCAACTCACACATTCCTTTGACCATGTGTTTTCCTAAGTGATCCAAGTTACAGCGAGGGGAATATACAAAATAAACTGAGACATGTATAAAACAAAATAACCCACCTCAGATTGCATTCTTTATCATTATTATAAGTTTTTCCCATTTATAAAGCAATAAGAATTTTACAATTCATAAACAGAAATCATTTTTATTGCATCATTTAATATCCTGATTATTCATTGTGAGTCATTCTGTAACTGTTTGATACTATTTGAATATTTACAGATCACAGTGTTAGAGCCTGTGGAGCCTCGTTCAGACTCTCCTTCTCTCTCGTCTTTTCTTCTCTGTGTCTGATCACTTGTGGCACAGACTGTGTTTTTATACAAACTGATTGATTAAGGGAGAGTCTTCATCCATTTATGGCCAATTGTGGGAGTGGAAATGAGGCTCGTGCACATGTGCCCTATTTCTCAATGAGTGAGATTTATAAAGCAAAACCATGTGAACGCACGGCTTTATAATTCTGATGAGAAGAATGGGTATGAATATTTCTGGCTTTGTGCGTACACATAGCTTTAGTCATTAATCCATACAGAGTTTTATGCATCTGGCATCTTTTAGACTGACATGACTGACCCCCACCCTGATGATAATAGCCTAGACCTCCGTACACTATCATCAGCGGCATTAATACACCTGCACTGAAAGAGCTGAGCAGTCAAATCCACAGAGGAACTTTCTGTAACTTTGGTTAGAAATGCTGCAATGCACCATAGAACTGGCCACAGATCTGATCACAGTTAAACATACATTCTGTCATACAGACTTTGGATTTCATCCAGGCTACTTACTTACAATGGAAGCACACTGGGTTCTTTTAATGGCCAGTATAAGGAAATAATTACAGCAGGTAAATGTTTCAGTCTTGACTTGTAAACGTGTCCTTTATGGAATCATTCCAGATACGTTTATGAGAGTTACATCTGAACATCATAATGTGTGCTCCCACATTATGTTGATTTGGTGTGTGTGTGTGTCTGTGTGTCTGTGTCTGTGTGTCTGTGTGTCTGTGTGTCTGTGTGTGTAGGTAAAGTTCATGAAGAGTGTTCCTGGTACAGCGCTGGTGGAGATGGGAGATGAGTATGCTGTGGACAGAGCCATCACACACCTCAACAGCATCAAGGTGTTTGGCAAGAGACTCAACGTCTGGTGAGAAGTCGATCGCCACACACACACATGCACACATTTTTTATTTCATGTCTTTCACAGTAAAAACTGATGAAAGACTTGACTTTGACTTGGTGTTCATGACTTGAGACTTGACGTAGACAGATGACTCAAATGGACTTTAAGTATTTGCATTTTTCTAGATATTGAGAAGTTACTTTTGGTTTTTGAAACCTGATTGTGTCATTTCTACTTGTCTTGTCTTGCTTGATTCTCACCACAGTAACTTGAGACTTGCTTGTGACTTGTACATGTGTGACTTGCTCACACCTCTGCTATGAACTATATAAAAGATCTAACCAATCAAATCATAGCTGTACAGTGAGGCCGACTCCTACTGCAGATTTCTGTAGGTTAATCAACTGTATTTATTACTAATACTTTCATGCCCTCATCATCATGTTAGACCTGTATGAATTTGTAACAGGGAGTTTGTTGGAAAGCTCTAGTAAATGAACACTGCTTTGAGTGATGACATCACTGCATATAAACCTGATTTGTGACATGTTGGCGATATGTTAATGGTATTTGTGTTGTCATGACGTGATCAGGCACCTTTTGGTCACATTGGTGTTTTGTCATGTGTACAGTGTGTCTAAGCAGCATGCAGTGATCCCCAGTCAGGTGTTTGAGTTGGAGGATGGCAGCAGCAGCTATAAGGACTTCGCCATGACCAGGAACAATCGCTTCAGCAGCGCTGGACAGGCCTCCAAAAACATCATCCAGCCTCCATCTGCAGTGCTGCACTATTACAACGTCCCTCCATGCATATCACAGGACCACTTACTCAGGGTACGGTACTTCTGTCTGATTGATGTCCTGTTTGTTTCTATGACATTTGAGTTTAAAATACAGTGAAAGTGCTTCCCTCCAAGAGGCCCGTCCTGTTCTTCTGTCTCTTTAGTGAACTGACATCAGCTTTCGCTACATGACAACTGTCTTCAGCAAAACCATTTGTGATATTATATCAACAGCAAATATTGGATTAAAGTATATGTGTTTATATGTAAACAAACAATGTTCAACAGCTGTTCATTTTTAGTATCATCCCAGATTTATCATCAAACCAAACAGTTTTAAGCTGATATCAGAAATAACATGATGCTGGGAGGAGCAGTGTCTAAATGTCTTTCAGTGAGTGGAAACATATGGAGATGTGTCTGTGTTGAAACCCACCTCCAGATCAGGCCATATGGTGATTGTAGTTTCACATTAAGCCTTGTCTAATGCAGCTTTACACTAACTGCTGTGTGTTTGTTTTGGCAGCTGTGTACGGAGCATGACGTGCCCGGCTTTGTCAAATTCAAGATGTTTGATGCCAAACGTGAGTAGAATGTTTAATGTGTAACTTTTTATTGTTTTTTTTTTTTAATTAAGCTGATTTTTCCTTTTGTAGTCAGTCTGTGAAAAGATGTCTATCTTCCCTTTCTCTGCTGCTGTTTTCACTCATCTTCTCCTCTCTTTCTCCCAGCCTCCTCTAAGACCATCTCTGGCTTGTTGGAGTTTGACAACAAGACGGAGGCTGTGGAGGTTCTTACTGTTCTCAATCATTACCAGATCAGGATACCCAGTAAGTCCACTCTGTCAAGATTTCATCCAGATCAACTATATTTACACCTGGAAATAAAATCTATGTATTTATACCCAATATACACTTTTCTCTTTCTATGATGCTGACTGGCACATCTTTGTTTTCACATGTAAGACATCAGGGAAGACATACTGCACAATAATCCAACTAAATGGATATTGTGAAAGGGATATGTGTTGTATGTTGTGCACTTAGCTAACCAGTGTTAAAGGTCCCATACAGTATAAAGGTCTCTGTCCATGTGTAGTTTGATTATAGATCAGGTCTAGGTTTTATATTAATACTGTGAAAGTATCAAAGCCTCAGTCCACAGAGAAATGCACACAGCCTGTATTCAGAAACTGAGCCTTAAAACCAGCCGTCAGGACTTCTTTGTGATGTCACAACAAAGCAGTCACCGCTCTCAGCCATGCCCCAAGCCCCCAAGCTAATTGAATTAGTATTAATAATTACTATTAAAAAAACATCATAACTATAAGCTATATATTGTCATCACTGAATAAAGTAGAGAAGACTGCATCAGGAGGGAGAAATGAATATGTGACATAAACGTGTTAATACCCTGTCATTGATACAATTTTATGAATTCATTGATACTTGATTGATACTTGGTTTAGCTGTTCTCATTTAGCATTTCTCATTTCTTATCAGTCAATATGTACTCTGATTACATCTGTGTGTGTGTGTGTGTGTGTGTGTGTGTGTGTGTGTGTGTGTGTGTGTGTGTGTGTGTGTGCGTGCGTGCGTGCGCGTGTGCATGGTTTCAGATGGATCCAACCCTTACACCCTGAAACTATGTTTCTCCACCTCCTCTCATCTATAAAAAGCTGCAAAGCACAAGGAGAGGCTGCTGAGCCTGGTGACAGTGGTGATGGCTGAACTCTGACCTCTGACCTAAGAGAGGGACGGGGACCATGAGGGAGTGGAGGAGAGATAAACTGTGAAACAAGAAGAGAGTGAGAGAGACGGCCTTTAAAGGAAATAAAGAAGATGGAAAGAAAAGAGTTAACACTCCGAACACCAAACATCCGCCCATCATCCAACCGTCCAATCAAAAGCTGACAGACTAGTGACTGTCTGAAATCATGTCTTTATATTGTCATGAGGGATGTCTGTAGGACACTGCTCATGTGTTTGTCCCAGAAGTCTTCACTGCATGGTGTCTTCAAGACAGACAGAGACTGACTCTGAGAAATCTACTGTACAAACCTGAGTCCACTCCAGCTTCAGTCAGTCATCTCTAAATCATGAGCTTCACACGTAGAAGATTTAGACTGAAATCATATTTTAATGTTTAAAAACTGATGAGTACAGTGTGTTGCTTTGAATTGTCATTGAACGTATGTAGTAAATATGGATATGATTTTCTAAGTTCTCATTTAGGGTTTATTAGAACTACATGAACTTCTCTGCCTCAGCAGCAGCAGCAGCAGCAGCTGCAGTGAGGCCTAAGGACACAAGTGTCACTCACACTTTGGCCCAGAGTCATCTCAACCACTGATATGTTGTTAAGTTTGCTGGCTATTCATGGTCCTCAGAGGAAGATGTGGTGTTTTGGTGACCCTCTGACCTGACTTTTCTCATACGGTCAGAATCTTCAGCCAGCTCCTGGTATGTGGAAAATTAAAGGCAGGATTCCCATGAATATTTGTGTTTCCCAGCGGATGAACTTTAATGTTTTCAAAAAACTTCTGTTATTTCTTTTAGCTCCATCATCAGCTTTACCACCATCACCAAACCCATACATAAGAAATATAATGGGCTCGGATTTTCTGAGCACATTCATTCTGCTCAGATAATAACCTCTTTGCATTTTGGACGTTCCATGATCTTCCCATTAGTGCCACCTTCAGGCAAAAACATCAACTTTGCATACAACATGTCTAATAATGCAACTGGCAGATTGATGAAACACTCATGTTTCCATGGAGATGAACCCTCTTGATTGCAAAGCTTCAATCACCTTTTCTCTAGAACCACCCCCAGGACAAAAGGTACATTTTAAACCGCAATGGTGAGACTCGAGAATAACTAAGTTATTATCATGCACTTTGTTCTGTCTTTCAGATTGTGAGGTGTAATGAAATTACAGCCTACAACTCTTTAATGTCGCTTTAATATTTTAAAATAATCCCATGGTCTGAAAACTTGTTGGTGTTGTATATATACAATCTTCTCTTTATTCTCACATGGTACCAGTGTAATATTACAGGGACTGCCCATGAGTCTGTGCATTGTGTTTATGGGTGTGTTTTGTGCATTTGTCAAAATTAAATTTAGTCAGCAGAACATTCCTAATGCACCCTCACCAGGAAACACATCGGTGCCATGTGGCATTTCCTGTACCGTCTGAGTGAACACACAGAGCTGCAGCCGATTGTGTCAGTTCAGAGTCTTGATTGTGATTTCGGAAGGTAAATGACTGGAGGAGAGCTGCAACAGTGTAATGAACGTGTTCATAGAAGTGTTGCCCTACTCTCTGTGTTGTACACTGATGGGTTTTCCCTAAACACAACAGATAAATGCTGGTTTATCTTAGTGGGTGTTGAGCCAAAAACAATATTAGACAAGTAGCAATTCTGCCTGCATGTGAACACAGTGCTTGTTCGATGCTTTGACTAAGAGATTGGACCTAATGCATTAACATCATCTGACCTTTAAAAAACAGTCCTGCTTTTTATCCTTATGTCCTTAATGTGATGTATTTCCTCTGTAAACAGGATTTTGTTGTTTGTTGTGACTGAGGAGTTAATCAGTGTAAACCAATGGGACATAATTGATAAGATTTGAATACACCTGAAATATGTATTACACATATGCACTGCTTTTTAAAATGCGATGAGTGCACAACTACAGTAAGACAAGTGTGTCAAAGTGGAACTGTGATAAATAGAATGATTTTACATCAAAACTCTGGAATTACATATATTGAAGGACATTTTTTGCTTTGTCATGTTAAACAGCATTTCATTTTTTCTTGTAGTATTTTCATTTTTATAATCTAATGCTAAAATAAGATTTTATGTGGATTTTGCATGAAATGTGTGAATTAACAGGCTACCTAAAATCTGTAAAATGCACAGGCATAGATGGATTACTGACCAGGCACAAGATAGGTCTGCTGGTCCCTGGGCAAGAGCCCAGTGACTGTTTGAAAGTCATACTGCTCAGTTAAAGGACAGTCAAAATGACTATATAGGAGGAGTGGGGAGCCTTTTGCCTATCTGTGATCACAGGGCCATTTTCTCATAATCCGTCCATGTCCAGGCCCAAAGTAATCGGATACAACGGGCTTCTGAGGCAAGTGTAGTAACAGAAAGCATAGTGTCTCTGTTCCATCCTGCATCTCATACAGGACATGCAGATTTCACTGCTCCAAGCCTCTTTTTTTTTTATAGTACACCACGATCCATCACACTTGAATTAAGGCATGCTTTTTTATATGACAATAAGGAAATGGTGTGAAAAGTCTCCACAGACGAATCCCGTTTAGTCTGCAGTTAAATTATTACTCCTTTAGATGCTGTGAAACAGTTTCATTAAACAGACACCGGGGGGTTAGTATGCGTCTTACAGCACTTAAATCTTACTGTATTTATAAGGAGGTTTTATGTATTCTAAGCTTTTGAAGCCTTGAAGGTGGTTTGATAAGCGGGGACTGTTGTCACTCTGACAGATTCACAGGTTTCATGATTTTAGGCTGTAAAGGTTTAATGTTGTTAATAGTCTGTAATCACTGACAAAACATTTAGAAAAATACATAGAACTATATTGTGCCATTCATTTAAGAATCCCTGTGGTTGTAACTTACATGTACATGTTCAAGCTGAATAAAGTCAAGTCTGGGGCTGTAAGGTCTATACACACAGCTCAAGTCAGCCATCTCCCATGTGTTTTCATTCACAGCTTAACTGTATTCACATAAAAAGGATTTTTAACACATTCAAGGTCACTGGGATTTTTGACACTCATCAGCAGAGACAAATGCTGTCATGTAAAAGTGATAAGATATTCCTTTATTAGTCCCACTGTGGGGAATTGCAGTGTTACAGCAGCAAAGTGACAGTACAAAGGAAAAAAAATGTCAGTACCAAGTACTTAAAAAAGATAAATAATATAATACGTATAATTAGACATTAAATTTAACAAAACACAAGACAATAGCAGCTGATAAGTAATGATACTTGAACTTCTTTAGGCAGGTTACATTTAAAGCAAATGACAGACATTTAGCAGACATTGTGAATTTAGTGCTGTTTTCTACACTCGCCAAGCGCTTTATTAGCACCCCGTACAAATACTGGATAGTTCCTCTCTTTGTTCTTGAAACAGCATCAGTTCTTGGTGGCATGGATTCAACAACATGTTGGAAACTTTCCTTTGAGATTTTTCTGCTCCGGTGTTGGTGAGTCTGTGTCCACCGCAGCCTCAGGTTTCTGTTCTTGGTGGAACCAGACATGGTCGTCTGCTGTTATAGTCCATCCACCTCAAGGTTGGATGTGTTGCTCATTGTGATGCTTTTCTGCTCACCAGTTGTAAGGAGTGGTTATCTGAGTTCCTGTAGCCTTAAAATAGAATGAACCAGGTTCAAAGACAACACGTGGAAATTGCAGAGAAATAGGAGAGTCAGCTGAACAGATATACAGTCTATGGTAGTACCACTATGACACAGAACAATCTGGCAAAGAGTGGGGTTTATGTACTGCAGGCTTCGGGTGCAGTTGATGAGTGTATTGGCAGCAGGTGGAAACATACACACACACACACACACACACACAGAGACAAACTGGGGACAAACGGGACAGGAAACAGGAACGGGAAAACATGTATATGACATGTATAATGGAGGTCAGACAACAAATGTTTGTCCCTGTGGCAGGTAAAAATCAGCCATGATACCAACCATTCATATATGATATGAATTTACTTATTCCACAACACTCACTGAAATACTGCATGTGCAAACATACACCCCATCATATTACACACAGAGCTGTGTGAATCTTATGCCCAGCTTTCAATGAGAAAATGTAACACTTGTTCACCTCCTCCAGCTGAGCTCTTCAAGACACATCTAACTCTCCATTCAGTATTATATAGGGTATATTCTGTCCGACAAGCCTTACTGTGTATTTTCTGTTTCTTCCGTTAACCTGAAACATGCTGCTTTGCTTCTCTGTGCATATTCTGAAATGACTGGCTAATACTGCATTGGTGAGTAAAAGCAGCACTACATCAAGACAAAACAACTATTATTTTGTTGTAGCCATAAACAAAAACTTAGGTTACAAGTCTCTGCCATAGCCTCCTAGTGGCTGTAGTTCCCCAAAATAATAAAGTTTTGATTTTACCTAAATCAATGAGGTGTCCCAGTTTTCTAGTAGAGTAGATATATGTGTATTTGGCTATGAGGAAAGAAAAAACACTGTTATGGTGACAGAAGTTCAACCTCTGGGACAAGCCTAGGCATAGGCTAACCCTGGGTAAGGGCATCATTTTAATAAAGATAAATACACGACTGTACATGTATACATACATCTGTGTCATGCCTGACATAATTAGGTCTACAGTTACAACTATACTGACAGAATTAATGCACATAAAACGCACAATAGATTGGAGAGAGGAAGGTGGCCCCTGCCTGAAAGACGAAACTCTGGGCAGGAACATAATCATCTACGTCGGCGCGTTCTCTCCCGCTCAACTCATGTGACAGCGTCCTCTTCCCTGATTGGCGGTTTTGAAATACACAGCTCAAGCTCATTGGGTAGTTTTGAACCGCTGCAGAACTGTGGTGAATTCAAAAGAGTGTGTGAGCATTCCAGCGGCAGTCTGTACAGAGAGAGTACAAACCGCAGCGAGCCAGGCAGTCAGGTAATTATTATTATATTTTACACTGGTCAAAACAGGAGCTGAACAATCTATCAAGATAGTTGAAGACGTGGACAGAAATAATGTGGACAGAAGTTGGTCACATCTTCGGCTAGAAAGTAAATGGAAGATACGCTGGGCGATTTAGCATTAGCTAAGCTAACGTTGGTGACCTTATCTTGTTCAGCTAGCTTGAAGAAAACGGTAAACGTTAATCGTAACCTGTTTATATCATGGCCGTCGCATCAGTAATATTACTTAACAAATAGCGAATGCAAAAAAAAAAAACACCGAAAAAATATTATTCAGGCAACATAACTCCAACGTTAATGTGCTAACAGTTTGAATAACTGACCGAGTCTTTGTATGGTAAAAAGTCTATGATTCTCTCCTGTAAATTGTTGGATTAACAGTTAACACAATGATGTGCCGATTTCACGCTGATGATAATGTTTCTGCAAATTACATCAGCCTCTCTCAGCCTTGTTTCGCGCAAAAGCTCTTTTTACACTGCAAGTAAAACAGTCACCATAACCCAGTGTCACTAGCAGATATGTCCTTGTAGTAAAATTTGAGTATGTAATGAGATGGTAAGTATTGGCTGAACGTACTGGGAACTAATGATAGTTGCTGAAGTATGACAACAAGTTGTTTTTTCTTTCAGGCAATAATGGAAGACTACTTGAAAATAGAGAAAATTGGAGAAGGTTGGTCTAAATGTTTCCTTTTTATTTGTCCAAATTATTCAAAGTGCTATTAATGTTGTGCTGCTGAAATTTACATTGACAAATGTTTTCAGCATTCTTCCATTACCCTTTTACGTATTTTAATCAACAATGTCATGATTGTAAAGTTTATTCAGTGTCAGTTTTGCTGCATTTGATCAGAATTACATTGGTAACTTGTTCTTGCAGGCACCTATGGCGTGGTGTATAAGGGCAGGCACAAGGTCACAGGACAGGTTGTGGCCATGAAGAAGATCCGTCTGGAGAGTGAGGAGGAGGGTGTTCCCAGCACTGCTGTTAGGGAGGTCTGTCTGCTTCAAGAGCTGAAGCATCCCAACGTTGTACGGTATGCTCACTTTGTGTGGAGTAGATGGTGTATCTGCAAATTCTGTCAGGTTAAAAGAATTTAAAGATCAAATAAATTTTCCATTCTATGAAATGCCAGTGGTATCTGAAGACACTTGTAGAAAACAGCTGTGGCTGATTGTCTGCCACTGTTGTTGTTGTAACCTATGTTGGTTGTGAGTGGTATGTCACTGACAGTTTTCGGTATGCCGCTGCTGTTTTACTGTCTTATGTGCTAATAAATAGTATGCCACTCATGTTCCACTGTCAAATACCACTTCACACAGACCAGTGCAACTGCCACTAGAACAACAGTGGCAATCCCTCAACCCCTTTTGGATCTGTGTCTCTCAAAATAATGCCACCATGTGGGTTACAAATCACAAAAACACCTCACCATGAGAAGCATCATGTATTGCCATCTGGTAATATGTTACTATGTCAGCAAGGTGTTGACTCAACTCTTAGTATAAGTGGAGTTTAGGGCTGCCCCCTAAAAGTTGAAATGAGTGAAAGTTGACTCTCATTTCCAGTTCACTCATGGCACTTTTTTTTTTTTTTAACCTCCCTCACAGTACAAAGTAATGCAGGATCAATAGTGTGGCAGGCTGTAAACTAAACAAACCAAGTCTTAATGACTTGATCACAAAACTAATTATGATAGAAGTAGAGACGGGTAATGAAAATGGAGAGCAGTACAATGCCTGACAGCGTGAGGCAGAGGAGCGGAATCGTCTCTGTTGACTCCTCAGGTACTTTCAGCCGCAGTGTAATAATTAAAAATTAAAAAAAATTCAGTGAAAATGCACAAATGGCTATTCCAACTGAAATTGCAATATCTGCCAAAATAACCGTTATAATGATTTTTTTTGCCTGTCATGTAGCTCTAATAATAATTTTGAGTGAGTTTAAAAATGAAAAATATAAATAAGAAAAAGAGTGAAGCAACAAGCCGCAAGACCCTGACCAATTAATACTAGTGCATCCTCTGTCTTGGCTGTGAAAATATAGATTATAGAATTATGCTATTCATGTGACAGAATAATTCACCCAGATTTTGTTGTTGGACATGTTTGATCACCCAGCCCAGTGTGTTGCCAGATGATGATTTCATTCATGGCAGCTGCCTACAGTACATCCAGTCAAACCATTCACATACAGTATGTGAGCAAAGAGGAATCATAAGAGTCACAATGTATGGGGGAAAAAATTAAATACAGTGAACTAAGCCAGAATATGTGTGTTTGTGTATATCCCAGACTCCTTGATGTCCTGATGCAGGAGTCTCGTCTCTACCTCATCTTTGAGTTCCTGTCCATGGACCTGAAGAAGTACCTGGACTCTATCCCCTCTGGCCAGTACATGGAACCTATGCTGGTCAAGGTAATTGTGTGTTTGTGATGAATAAACTGTCAGTGCAGTTGACCTGAGGGATCTTCAGACTATTTATGTGCAGCAGTAGCGTGACAGTTTTGTTATTGCAACATGGTGACCTAAAATGCTAACATCAGTCACGTGCTTTAAATTTCTGGCCTCATTAATTGCTTTGTAACAGTTTGTCTCATTGCTGTCTAACTGGTTATATAGACAAGCTGACTATAGTCAGTCATTTTAAAACTCATAAGGGCTTTACATTCAAGTTACAGGGGGGAGTTCTCTGTTTTGCTAATAATGCTTGTCCAGATTTTCTTTTCATCTGGACTGAGGGAACAAACCATTAGCATCACAGTTAGAGAACGTTAAAGTGATAGTTCAGGTTATTTTACATGGGGTTGTGTGAAGTATTTGTCCATAGTCAGTGTATTACCTGCAGATGATTTGGGATAGCCAGTTTGGAGAATTGGGAAGGAGCACCGGGAACAGAAGCTGAGTGATATGCTGCTGTGGACAGGGGGAGTGGAAAATGTGTTTTAATCATTGGGGAACACTGCTCAGGG